TTAAGGATTTTGAATTTTGAATGAATTTATTGAAGCTAGTTCAAGGGGGCCGGTAATGTTTACTGTTAACTTAGATTTAAGGATAAAATTGAATTACTGCTAAAACAAATTGAAAATTATAACTGTTATACACAATACACATTGAACACCCCTACAGTTTTTGTACATATACGCTAACACTAATAGACACTGATAACATTGATAACACTCACACAGGAATACAGCACGAAGTTAGGTTTAGGTAAAGATCGATGGGGATAACAGAATCCCCAGTTAGTAGCCAACTGATCTCGAGGCAATAAACATTTATATACACCGAACCGCCGCGTGTGCATAATAAAGCCAGTTTTTGTTTATAAATAAACTGTGATAGTTTTCCGACAGTATTTCTGGAGCGTTTCCCCTAACATTATTCCTGTGCGCCCTTGCGTGCTGTTTTTTGAGGTGGTTTCCGACCCACGAACTACGGAGTGGTCAACACTATCTATTTCCAACATCCATGAAGTTCTGCAAATCTTGTACTTTTGTACTTCGCTGCGATTTGTTTTTGGAATTGAAACTTTCTGAAAAATTCCTGCAAATATCTTTAAAGTTCTGTAAAGTTGTCTGAAGCTCCGTAGTTTTATTCTCAAGATCTACAAAAAAAAAAACCTGGAGGCTCAATCAATTTCTCAGTAGATCTGCCAAACTTCTCTGAAGTTTTGTAAATTCCTCTGTAGGCTCTCGGGCTACCATGAAGATCTGAAAATTTCCCTGAAGATCTTCTAAATTACCAAAAGTTCTCAAAATATATCTGAAAATTTGTGAGCTTCCTTGAAGTTTTAAATGTCTCTCTCAAGACCATCAGATTTCCCTGAAATCGAATAAATATTTTTTTTTTAAATCACCGAGCTTCCCTGAAGTTCTGCAAATTTTACTGAAGATCCATTAAAATTTCTGAGATTCTAAAAATGTATCAGAAAATCTGCACACTTTATTGAAGGTCTTCAAATTTATCTGAAGATCTATGACCATTCTTGGGATTTTTCAGAAGTTCCGTAACTTTTTTCAAAGTTCTGTAGCTTTGTTCTGAAGATCTACGACCTTTTCTGATGTTGGATAATTTTTCAGTAGATCTCCAAACTTCTGTGAAAAACTTTATATTTCACTGTAGATTCTTGGACTTGCCTGAAGTTATGTAAAGGGCGAACACGAAATTATTGCGACACCGAAAATGTCATGCCAATTTTCTTATAATGTTTAGAATCAAACCAAAATTTTAGGGTAGTTTTATACATATATTTACTTCAAAAATCAAAAGAAAAGTTAATCGATGGAGCCTTGAGTGTAAAATTGAACGCATTTTCGCTTGATGCCCTCCATCAAAGTCTTTACAGTGTCATCCGGTACCAGTTTCTCAGTTTTTTTTCCCATTTTCTTAACATGTCCTTCTCGTCTTTGACTGTCTTCTTGCTCTTCCGAAGTTCCCGCTTCATTATTGCCCAGTACTGCTCCACCGGGCGCAGCTCCGGACAGTTTGGCGGATTCATGTCCTTTGGAACAAAATGGACAGAATTGGCCTCATACCACTCCAGGACACTTTTAGAATAGTGGCATGATGCCAAATCTGGCCAAAATAGCGGAGCTTTGTCGTGCTGCTGCAAGAACGGCAAAAGGCGCTTCTCGAGGCACTCAGATTTGTAGATCTCGCCATTTACTGTGCCCTTTGGCACGAAAGGCTTCTTAAATTTGTCGTCCACATCGAACTTGCTCTTGCCGGTGAAAAACTCCAACCCCGGAATTTGCTTAAAATCGGCTTTTATATACGTTTCGTCGTCCATCACACAGCAGCCATATTTTGTCAGCATCTTCTCGTAGAGCTTCCGTGCACGAGTTTTAGCCGTCGATTGTTGCCGCCCATCGCGGTTTGGGAAGTTCTGTACCTTGTATTTATGTAGTCCAGCTCTCTTCTTTGTATTCTGGACGTAGCTCTGCGACATGCCGATCTTTTTAGCCAAATCACGGCTTGAGACGTTGGGATTTGCTTCACCTTTCCCTCCGTCTTTTTGTTCTCCGGTCCCGGTTTTCTTCCAGCTCCTTTGCCGTGGTCCAACGTCAACCGCTCCTGGAACCGCTTCAACACTCTGGAGACGGTTGAATGGTGAATGTTCAACATTTTTCCCAACTGCCGGTGCGACAGGTCAGGAAATTCCAGGTGTTTGGAAAGCATTTGTTCTCTCAACTCGCGTTGGTTCACCTCCATTTTCGTTGAATCGAAAAACACGACTTCGAGTTTGACAGCATGTACACAATACACATCAATGAGAAAGTGTGCAAAATTTGGTTGATTTTTACCCAACGGTAAAAAAGTTATGCCCTGTTGAATGTGTCGCAATAATTTCGTGTTCGCCCTTTAAATTTCCCTGAAGATTTGCAAAATGTCGATTATAGTTTTACAAATTGATCTGAAAATATTTTAGCTCGCTTGAAGTGTTGAAAATTTCTGTCAACAATTATCTAAAAATCTACGATGCCTCTTGTATTTTTTTGTTTTATGAATTTCTGCAAATTTCTTTTAATTTGTTTGTTCTCGAGATCTACGAACTACCCTGAAAGTCATCAAATTTCTCAATAGATCTCCGAACCTCTCTGAATCTTAGTATGCTCTCAGACCTGCTGTTTGGCATGCTTATTCTTATACAACACATGCTTCGTATTATATAAGCACTATTTTGTTGACCACGTCATGATCAAAGTTATAACGGCAGCTTTCTGCCAATCACAGGACATTATTGAATAGTGAAATCCGTTTACCTTCCCTAATAAAAATACCATACCCGAAAGATAACCCAAACGATTGAACTATTCCACAAATGGTTTGAATGAATCACATCCTTAAGCAAAATAACCATACATATTTTATTAGGGTTGCTGCTGGATGCCATCGAAATACAAATCAAGCGTTCTATAGCGGTTCAAATCCGTGAAATTTTAGAAAATAAATCAATATTTTCACCTAAGTTGCGGCTGTTTTGCTGGATAAGTCGAATGAAAATTAAACGCAAACCTATTTCGTTCGATAAATCAAACGTCAAATCTAATCATCCTGTCGAAAAAGTGTGAACGCATCCGAACATTCCATCCGACAAAATTATCGACCTCGAATTAGGGACGTTGCGATACTACCATAGAGGTAACTCTAAGACTAGTAGGTCCCGAAGAAATGTGCTCATCTTTTTGGCTCAGCTCTAGTACTATCTTCGGTCCCAAGCTAATCGATTCACCCCTCGAAACAAAAGAAAAACCAATAACCCCTCATTTTATCTGTCAAACTTTCATAGCGAATCAAAACAAACATTGTGTAATACTAGAATTTTGACTAGAATGGGGTACGTTAATCGATTTGCTTGGGACCAATAGGCTAGTCAAGTAGTGAGCCAATTTAAAATCGTTAGTTTCGTATTGATTGTATCAGTAAAGTATCGATACTTTTATTTCGATACCAAGTAATTAAGTATCGATACTTTACAATCGATACTTCTCCAATATCGATACTTTCATCGTGGTATCGCGGTATCGGTATCGAATCGGGGCTAGGATGCATATGGTCAGCATGGCAACTTCTGTTCCATGCGAGCGGCTCTTTTCAAAGGTTGGATCTTTAATTACTGAGACCAGAAACCGATTGTCAGCAAAATATTTACAGAAACTAATATTTCTAGCAAGCGTCGATGATGCTGAATGGTTCAATTAGTTGGTTTAAATGCTTTTGTTTTTAATAAAATGATACAAACTGTTCGTTATTGATCTTAAACATGGACTTTCAATTTAAATTCAATCAGATTGCTTTTTTATCAAATGATTCGATACTTAAAAGCAGGGTGCCTTCCATTCGTTTTGACTAAATAAATGTTTTAAGAAATTATGGAATAATTAGATATTATGAAAATATTTTGATTATGTAAACAACAAGAAAAGATTGTTAAGTTTGTGTTTGACACATAATACCTACCAATTTTGCTAGATGAGAGTCGCAATAAGCGATTTTGTAATTTATCTCACCCACTCTTCGCTCTTCACTCTTCGCGAAGAGGCGATCAGAAAAACGCTCATTGTTACTCTGTCAAAGCTAAATTTGCAGGTTTGATGTGTGAAACATAAACTTTACAATCTTTTCTTATTACTTACACATACAAAATATCCTCATAATATCCTATTATTCCATAATTTCATAAAACATTTGTTTAGTCAAAATGAATGGAAGGCACCCTGCTTAAAAGTATCGATACTTTGTTTCGATAGTATCGCAAATATCAGTATCAGTTATTCGATACTAGTATCGAATCAAGTATCGATACTTTTAAGTATCGCTACGTCCCTACCTTGAATCAGACCAACAAATCAGATAGTCTAAACGTACCTTAACACTACCATCAGATAGGGAGAATTCTTCCCTACCTGCTAGTGATGTTAGTAAGCGTGTGCGAGCTACCAGTTACGCCAAATCGAAGATCAAATGCATTGTTTACAAAAGCTGATACGTCTTTTTGAAAAAGTAATCGAGTTGCTTAATCTTCAGTTCCACTAAAATGAACCAAATGTTTCGATTCAATCTGTTCATGATATTCTAAGTGCTATGAGCATATAATATTCGTTTCTCTCAAGGAGCGTAACAACGGAAGGGAGGGGAATCAAAGCCTTTCGCAACCCTCAACATACACGTCTAAAATTTGTCTTACACAAAAGCCAATGATCGCACTTACTCCAGTGTACCTTACACTTATTAGGTATAACACTATTCCACTGCTATCGACGAAATCAATCAAAATCCTGTGGTTTGCTTTTACATATCCTATTTATTTCTTAATGTTATTCAGACTGCATTTTCATTACAGAGGTGCATCAAGACAAATGAAAAGAAAAAAAAAACTTTCCTCACTAGACTTAATCCCGGTACGGAGAAGATAGCTTCAACAAACTTTCTATTATAAAATATCCATTCAAATAAAACTGAGTACCGCTTGCAAGAAGAAAGTTTACCATTTATTTTACACAAGATTGGATAGAGTTATATTTTGCACAACTTCCTTCAGTAACAAAACTGCAAACCTGCAAGAAATGACATAGAAGACAACTTATGAACTAATTTTCATTCATCTAGATAATTCTGCTGCTTCCATTCGACGAGCAATAAAAAAAAACGTTATTTCAGAAAGAAAATCATCAAAACTCCGAAAAGAGGACCACGTCGATTTGGAGGTATTATTTGTAGTTCTAATTTCTTGAAAATGCCAACCCTCAATCAACCGCAGATGAAACGGAGCAGAGCGCATCCCGTCGATCATTGTTCCTAGATTATTAGTACGATCCGGTATCTCTAGTCGGAATGCGCTTGTTCGTCGTCCTCAGGTCGGTTGGTCGAAGATGATGGATCTTAATGAGATAGATGTGCTGATCTTTTTGTTAAATGTGTGGCATTGATTTTGTTCTGACTACTCTTCACTGGCAGCAACGATAATGACACGGGCGGGACAATAAATTTACGTGTTGTTGTTTTCTCTGGGTTCCAGGCGGGGTCGCTTGCGCAGAGTGTCATTGGAGGCGTCGGTTCCGTGCTCTCGCTTTTTGGGTGCGTTCTGAAACGACAACGAAGGCATGCAAAAGTCATATCCGATACTAAGTTATTTATAAGGCAGGTCGGTCTTGTTACCTTTTTGTCCCACTGTTGATGCAGATAGCGAAGTAGAATATTCTTCTTTTCGGTAACTATCACTGCAGGAGGAAAACCAATTTGTTATTAATACTGGTGGATAATCCTAGACGAAACTCGACACTTACCTTGCTCCGAGGGAATGTCGACGGTCGGGATGTACACCGATGGTCGCTTGGAGGATGTCTTCACGCCATTCTCTGTGTTGAATAGCGAGAAGTTTTCCTCATTGTGGCAGGGGAGATCTTTGAGGAAGTCGGTTATCGACTGTAAACGAAAGAATAAACAAAAATCAGATACCTGCTGCAACCCGCTAAGTTGGCCCGATTCCAAAATGTTGGCAATATTCTTGTCCACACAGAGGAAGCGAGTGAATGATGCACAAGAGTTTCCAGCACTAATTTAGTCAGCCAAAAGCAGGATATTGCGTCTCGATTTTTCAGACCGCACCGATAGCAAAGAGGGAAAAGCCCACACTTACCATATTATTCTAGAACTGCAGATGACGAAGCACTGGGTCACACGAGAACCAGTTTCAGTGAAGACACGTAAATTTGATCGGAAAATTCGTATGAATGAACTTTTTTGTTGATGATTTTCTCGTTCAATCAGCAGAAAGCACACACATCAACGCAAAGCGAGAGGAACGAAGCGAATGTTTTTGACGGATTGACGCGGATGACAGAAGGGGAGATATTGAAAAGGGAAATAAATCAAGAGCAAATTTTCATTACGTCGAATGTAACAAAGGTAAACAAAGTCGAGCTATCAGTGTCAATCGATTCTCCTGCTATTACACTATATACTGACCGAATATAGGATCAAATCCCATTTTTAAATTTATTTGCCAGCCAAATTGCTTTTTGACGTAATCACCTTCCGATCAAAATAGTTTTCGATGTTACTTAAGTCACCCAATTTCTATGGAGATGCCGTTTGACTTAAGTAACAGCGCTGAGAAACCCGTGAAAAGTGTACGTTCGTCGTTTCGCTTTCTCATTATTAAAGTGAATAAATCGCACTGTTTGTTGCTAAGATGATTTCGGTGGTCCTAAAATAATGAATGGGCTGCACGTAAGGAGACGTAATTGATAATTCTCCCGAATATCCTGGTAAATACACTTTGACTTAAGTAACAATAGGGGCCACCAAACGACGTATAATAACTTTTGACTCAAAAACCAGTATTTTTTAGCATGAAAGTTAGCGATTTGCATTTGTATGATTAAAACCCTGCTAAATATGTTAAACATTGCTATCACTATGAGATTATATGTGTTTACTTGGAAATAGGAATAACTTTTCGGTCATCAAAACAAAACTTTATTTTTCTCGGATTGGTGCGAATGTTACTTACGACATAATGAAAATTTGCTCTTGAAATAAAAAGAGAAATTCAGTATCAACATTACAAAAGGGCAAAACTGCTATTGAAATCAAAGAGTTCAGCTGTAGATGTTTCGCAAATTAACTATACCATCTAGTAGAGGAAAATTGGTTCTACCAGCTGGTTTATATGGTTTATTTGAATAAGTGATATTTTGTTTGCGAGAAATCAGTGGTTGAAGTAAGTAATACACAAGCAGTTTCGCTCTAATGAAATGTTGTATCGCATTACGTTTGGATGGCCCTTCAGAAACGTAAAACACGATAACCGTAGATAACTCAAAAATGAGTAAACAAAAAAACCAATTTTCATTTATACTCTTTTTACTGAATCTCTATTGGAGCACGGCCAGCCAGATCGACCAAAAATTGAGTCGAATTGCACTCATAATTCAGACGGTTAGAATGAAAGTGGCATAAGGGTATAAGCGAGGGTATAAGTGACTTTGGTCGATTCTCTTCATCGACTTTCTCTTTCGTTAATAATTCTCGCGCAATACGAGAAAAATGCCTATCATTGTTCATCGATTCTCTTCATCGGTTTTCTCTTTCGCTAATAGCTCGACTGCAAATTAATTTCCCATTGAGTGTGTTGTTTCAGGCGCATGCTAACATCATCTTCTGTTGATCTGTGCTGCGAGATTAGCGAGATATTCGTTTATGTTGCCTTTTCAAATGTTACGCGAGAATTCAGCTGCAAACACATTCTTGCTGTGGTAAGTCGATGAAGAGTATCGATCAAAGTCACTTACACCCCTTTCCTTCTAACCACGACAATTGCAACACGTTCACGGAGAAAAAATACAACTCAAAATTTGAGTTGTTTTTACTAAAATTTTGAGTTTAACTTGCACTCGTTGTCAAAAACGAGGGGCAATTCACTTCTCTCGAGTAATGAATAGGTCGTATGAATAAAAGCGTTTACTTTACTTTCCCCGTAAGAAGAGCACGGGAAAGTAAAGTAAACTCTTTTTATTCATACAGCCTAATCTAAAATACGTGAACGAAAAAAATACACATAAATTCATCATTGCTCTTCATTAAAAAAAAAAAAAAAAAAGTGCCTCAAATCATTGTTTTCAATAAAAAAAAGCATCAATGAGTATTTGTAACCCACAAATAAGTAAATTTTATTCATTAATGAGTAACAGCCCTGGTAACAGATGCTTATTAATGCGTAATGAGCGAGGTAATGAATTCAGTGCCAACATTTAAAAGGGGCGTAATTGCTTTTGTAAACAATGGCTTTAGACGTCGATTTCTCGCAAATGAAAATCCACACCCCAAATTACAAATGCTAGCTGATACAGGAAACATTCCTCTGCGTGCTGGTGTCATTCCTTTTCATGAGTGAGCTTTCATTCGCGAGAAATCGACGACTAAAGCCATTGTTTACAAATGCAATTACGCCCCTTTGAAATGTTGGCACTGAATTAATTAGTTAAGCCTCTATTCCTCAAAATAGGTGAAACTCTACTCATCGGTGGGTATTTTAAAGTTAGCGTGTGTTGTGCATTTGTCAAATAAAACGTCAACGTTGTGAGTTTGATTAAAGCCCTACACAGAGAAAAAAATTAGCCTAAATTTAAGTTCTTTTTACTAAATTTTAGGTAATTTTGAGTTTTGCCTCCCACTCTCAAATTTTGTTGTTGTAAAAAACGGAACGAGAGATTCGACTTTCTCGTGACTATCGTTCAATAAGCTATTAGTGAGTATATGAGATATTCTCAAATTTGAGTCAATTGATCTTAATTTTGGGTAGAAAATACTCACGAGTAAATAATTATTTTTGCCGTAGTCAAATCTAGATAAACATTTCAAAAGGTCCTATCTGCATTGAAGGTTCTCTTCATCGACTTAGCTAAGCAAATTGTACTATCGATATGTAAATATTTTAAAAAGCTATGGCAAAACATTACCAAACCGATAAGTATATAGCAATGTTTACTTTACCAGCCCGTTTAAACTTCCTTCGAAAAGTATTAATGACATGCCTTCGTCATCCTCATCTGCTAAACGTGACAGAAAGTTACTGACATTAGAAGACAGCAGTGAAGTTGTAAAAAGACGGTAGACATCAGATTTAAGGAACAAATATCCAACGACTGAGTTAGCATATGCTACTCAAATAAATCTAAGAGAGAAAGGTAAATACTATTCCGCGAATATTGTGCAAGATATTACACGAAGGAGTCCATCAATAAATAAATAGTAATAAAGACTTTATGAGGTAGATATTTTCTATTAATGTTGCATTAAATCAACTAATATAAACATATTTTAAAGCTACCGAATTGATCATACCAGGAAGATATCTAGGAGGACAGTGAATGAAGATTTAAAACATCGGCTCCCAGAATCGTCAGATCCATTCATTTCTAGTTTTAGAGATGTTAGAGACAAGCGAGAGATGGATTTGGTTGAGGATGCTAGAAATATGCTGTTCTACAATCAATTCACCAGCTGGAAGACACTGATTTGGATTCAAACGAAAGTAGTGATTCCAATTGAACAAGGCTTTAAACTGATATTAAAATTATTAATTCAACGGGAAAATCTTCATCAGGGTAATGAAAATAAATAAAAAATTATAATAATCAATGGAAGTATCTAAATTATATGATGTTATCTGGGGCTAACGGGATACAGATGACTACTAGATGAAATGATAGTATTTTCAGTATAGTTTCATTTTATTGAGGAGCCGTCTGCCCCTTTTTGCCTCTTTGAAGTTTGTGGATGCTTGAAATTTGGCTATTTTTGAGCTGATATTGCCTATAACATTTTTTGTATTGCAGATAGAACCTTTTTGTCTTGGGTAAAGTTGTGTATTTTATTGATTTTTAGAAAGCTGCAGAGCATTATAGTCATGTAAAACAAATAATTTCGGAAATATTTACAAAAAACAGATTTTTGAGGCCCTTCTATAAAAAACGCTTCATAATTAAATATCGCAAGCAGATAGAGACATGACGTTTTCTACAAAGTTTTTAATTATGAAGCAACCTACAACCATAGAGGTAACTGTAAGACCAGAAGGTACCGAAGAAACGAGCTCAACTTTTTGACCCAGCTCTGGTACTATCTTCGGTCCCAAGCTAATCGATGCACCCCTCGAAACCTTGGAAAATCCACGAACCCCTCATTTTATCTGTCAAACTTTCATAGCGAATCAAAACAAACATAGTGTAGTACTGGAATTTATACTAGAATGGGATACGTTAATCGATTTGCTTGGGACCAATAGGCTAGTCAAGTAGTGAGCCAATTTAAAATCGTTAGTTTCGAATTGATTGTTGCTACAACTTAGCTCAAGAGTTTATATCTCTATCTGGTCAAACTAAAAAGTTAAATTTTGCACCGCCACCTGTGGTGAAGTTCCGAACTAAAACTTAACTTTATTCAATGGGTCTTGTCATTTATAAAAACTCTTTTCAAGACACCTTATTGAAAAAAACCACTGTGAAAGGTGTTATTAAAAAAAGTTCATGGATTTGGCCTTTTGCACCACTGTGGAATGGTGTGTTTTTTTTTTGTAAATAATAAAATAACTTTTACAGCGTAGGGTTAACTACCGCATTTCCGGCCTATTAAGCAAAACTCGCACTTAGTCTTTCCTAATCTAGCGCAGTTTGTTTTTATTACTGATGGCTTCCAAATTTATTTACCTTTCCGTATGTACCGTAAGATTTGATAAAGAGAAACCAATCGTTGAGATATTGTCAAAAGTCTAACACTGCTTCTTGACGCCAAACTCGGCCTACGGATTTTAAACTCGGCCTAACGCATTGAAACGCCATTGTAAAGGCCAATGAATTCACTTCGGCCTATCGGATGAAGAGAAAATTGATTCGGTCGGAGCGCTTCTTTTGTTTTTGGGAATAATGGGTGCAAACGTTCATATCACGCGTTCTCATTGACTTCGTTCCGTAGCTTATTAACTAAAGTATCGTACCAAACGCATAATTGACTTGTTAACTCTGAAATCATGGATTTATTTGAAGTTTTCTGCTCGAGAGGCCCAAAATAGGCGATTAGGCCGAAGTAGTTCTCTACCGTATATTTTTTCTTAAAAGGCACAATACTTGTCCGCATTTTCGCCCAAGACACCATCTCGACCAAACAAGTCGTTCGCGAGATATGTGTTTTTCTATTGATGCGTATCATTTTTGCATAATTCCTTTTCAAGTGTTAGTCGTGTACAAAACTAGGGAAACAAACCACCAACCTCTGGCTAGCAGCAATGGTGATACACATCCGTAAACTTGCTTGATGT